GTGGAGAAATAACAATATAGATGCTTTGTTAACATGGTATTGAAACCTGGAGTTCTAGAAGTTTGGGCAATGCTTCATCAAGGGTAAGTTTCAGTCCTGCCTCCTTCATGAAATCACTCCTGAACACACCAGCGTCCCCACAGTGACCTCAACCTTCTCTAAACTCAGGGTGTAAGCCACTTATTGGCATCTGAGTGCCTAGTGACAGACCCTGTGACACTGTCTTACTTTAGGATTTACCTCTTGATGTAGTCAGTTCTCCAGAGTGAATGGCTTCTTTCCCAGTGAAACTGTTAAGTTCCCTAAGGTTGGTTCTGTATCTTATTATATCCTTCACAGCAGCTATTTGAGAGCAATTTCCTGCCTTAAAATCATGCCGAAGATTTCTCGCAGCCCAAATCCTTTTTGTTGCAGATAAGTTGTCTAGTAAGAACAACTTGAAGGATCCCAAAGAGAGATCTAATAGTTATTATTGCTAGCTCAAGCGATGTACTCTAGAGTTTATTAGAAAATTACATATGTTGGAATAGAGAGCGTTTAGTAGATGCTCAACAAATGTGATCTTCGTGGCAACATCTGCTGTCAGCTTCCACTCAGGCAAGCAGATATTTAAAGATGACTTTCTACTCTCTCCACCAGAGGGTGCCAATGCCTGTATGTCCACTAGTCAGGTTCCCTGGCACCTCTTAGAAATATAATTCTAAGCAGCCTTATCTAACAGGCAATTGAAGATGAGGAGCTGGGGCTTGAGACGTAAGAGAGAATAAATAGGCTTGGGAGTCACGTATATTGTGCTGATAGCTGATACTGGGAAAGTTCTTGAGGCTTCTGAAGGACACAACCTTAAGAAATGTCTACATACAAAGGTTAGGAAAAAAGGGGAAACAGTGACAGAGAAGGAGAAGGAAAACACAGAAATGTAGTCAGAAGGCACCAAGAATAAGACAGTTTCAAGGAGATGCTGGCAAGTGACAGTAGGTGCTGGTGAGAGATTGAGGAGAAAAAGAACTGAGAAAAACAACAACATTATGGTTAATCAAACAGTAAGGTTAGAAACTAGATTTAGGGTGGGAGTGTGAATGTAACGAGTGGTAGAGAAAAAGGAATAGACTCCAGTTCGTTCAACTTAGTTGTTGAAGTTCTGTGGCAATAATAGGAAGAAAAGAAACAAAGCAGTTACTAGAGAAGCACCAGAGATAAGCTTTTAAAATATCAAGGTCCAAGACCTCATTTTGTCAAAAAAAAAGAAGAAAACATTTCTTAAATGAGGCTAATCTCAGCTTTATATTACAAACAGATAAGATCATCAAATTCACACTAAGATATGAATGATGGTCATTTTCCTTAGTTTCCTAAGTACGTGGCACTTGCAAAACAAAATGGACAAACAACAATCCAACAGACAAAAAAATAGGACTCCTGTTCATCTAAGCAACTAGTGGCTAGAATTTCTAGTAGGATTTATTCATTCATTCAACAAATGTTTACTGAGCATCTACTATATGCCAGGCACTATGATATACTCTAGGGTTATAGCAGTGAACAAAACAGAAAACGGGTTGTAGCCCCATGGAGTTTACGTTTAGTGTAATTGCGGTGTGGGTGGATGGGAGAGTAAAGCAGGGAGAGGATAATAGAACCCCTTGGTAAAGGGGGTGATATGCCTCGCTGATAATGTAACATTTGAGCAGAGACCCAACAGAAAGTCAAGTGGATAACCATGGAAAGAATTCCAGGGAGAGAGCACAGTGAAGGCGAAGGCCCATGGCAGGTTCAAGACTGATGAAGGTGAAGGATACAGAGGGGCTGTATGGCTGCCTCGGAATGGGCGAAAGAGAGAGCAGTAGGAGGCGAGGCCAGGGCGGTAGCAGGCCCAGACTGTGCAGGACCTTAGTGGCCACTGTAAGGGCTTTGGCTTTGACCCCGAATTTCACAGGAAACCACTGGATGGTTTTGAATATGTCCCGATTCACATTTCAAAACCACTGCTCTGGCTGCTGAGCTGAAAAGAGACTGGAGGGGAAATAAAGAGCAAAAATGAAAGCAAAGAAAGTAGTTATGAGTCTAAAGCAGTAGTTCAGGCAAGGGACCTAAGGGAGTGGACCAAGGTGGCATCAGCAGAGAGGTAGAAGTGGTTGGGTTCCTGGGGTGCTTTAAAGGTAGAGCTGATAAGATTTACTGAAGGGTTAGATGTGGGGTATGAGGGGGGAAAAAGGATTCAAGGAAAACTCCACATTTTTTGGCTTGAGCAACAGAAAGGTGAACTTGACATTGAAGAAGGAAGTGTGGTAGAATGGGAG